TTCTGTAATCAACCCAGAAAATTCAAAAGTCCTATGGTTTTCTTTGGACAACAGGATCGTTAGAGCTGATGTTCCCAGACTCAAAATAAAAGGCAGGGACATCAAAAGAGAAAACAGACTGCGGTACCTGAGTTTGTCTTTCAAGAATCACATAGAGGGGGTTGTGACAAAGACTCAAAAAGGTCTTAATGAACTAAAAATTATGGCAGCGATGGACATGGAGCAGAGAATGATGTTCACACTTTACCAACAATTAATCATCTCAGTGATTGATTATGGATTGGAGTTACTCACTGTCTCGAAAAGTCAGCTAGAGAAACTGGAGCGCATACAGAATGAAGCTATGCGGGTGATCCATCCTGGGATGTACGATAGATACCCCGAGTGTGTGCATGCGATACATCCTTGCATTGCCGACTATTGCAGATAGGCTAGAGGTGTTGCAGACTAAGTTATACCTCAGAGTTTCTGCAGACAAAGAACACACTCTGCGTAAATCTTTGGCTGCAGTTAAAGGGCAGAGTCTGAAATGGGGCAAATCGTGGATGGCTCAAGCAGAAGACACAGTAAGACAAGTATGCATGCTGGAGAACATTGGGCGAGGAGAGGAGTGGGTCAGAGTACCAGAGGAAAAGTCTGACCTGTGCAGGGTTATGATCACATTGAGTGCAGAGAGTGGCCAGCAAGTGCTACAGAGGTAGAAGTCCAACAGTTGATTCACGAAAACTTTCGCCCAGATGATCTAATTATCTATGCAGATGGTTCGGTGGTGTGAGAAAAGACAAGTGCCTGGGCGTTCGTAGCGAAAGCCAATGGAAAATTCTTAGTGCAAGACAGCCTGACATACGATACCACAACATCTAACATGAGACTGGAGGTGGAGGCGGTTACTGCAGCTTTCCGGTGGCTAGAGAACAGAATGCATACATGTGTGGTTTAGGATCCGCTGTGAAACCTAAACCATGTGTAGACATGTAGTAATTGTAACAGATTCTGAAAAATGCAGAAAAAAGGTGAAGGCAAGGATGTTTCGAGCAGAGTGGCAAGCTTCAGTGAAAAGGTCACAGGTAGTGAGCATACTTTGGATATTTTCCTCAGGCTAGACTGGCGTAGTGGGTAATGAACAGGGCAGATAGATTGGCTGGATCTGCAGCACTGGGCGTTGAATTCGTACATGACAAAATAGATGTGGTCAACAACCATTTAGGAACAGCCAAAGGAGTCAGAAGAGAAATAAGATTTTATGGCCTAGAGAGAATGATGCACCTGAGTGTAACCAGCGAGTCTGGCCGGCTCCCTGCACTCAGAGGAAAGGTAAGACGGACATATAACCAGATTACGATCGGTACCATAAGTATTAGAACTCTGCGCTGGCTGCTAAAGATGAGGACGGAGCATGCATGGGAATGCCCCGAGTGCTGTGATGTCAATTCTTGACTCAACTCAACTCAGTTGAAACGTGTGTTGTGTGTTCTTGGAGTTGTGGTGTGTGTAATGAGTTGTTTGTTCTTAAAGTTGAGACGTGTTTTGTCTGTTCTCATAGTTGAGACATGTGTTGTTTGTTCTCAAAAGTGAGATGTGTGTTGTCTGATCTCAGAAATGAGACTTGTGTGTCTCTTCCCTGACGACCAGGTATCTGCGAGCCATTGTCCAGTCCCAGGTGTGACCGGAAGAACTTCTGGCTGGACTGTCACAAAGTTCACAACATGGAGCAGGCTGTCTGCAACAGTATCAATGATCAGTGTAAGCTCGTTGTCTCTCTCTACCTGTCTTAGTCTGGCTGTGCCTGTCTGTGCCTGTCTCTGCCTGTCTCTGTCCTTGTCTGCCTCTGTCTGTCTCAGCCTGTCTCTGCCTGTCTCTGTCTCTGATTGTCTATGTCTCTGCCTGTATCTGCCTGTCTCTGCTTGTCTCTGCCTGTCTCTGCCTGACTCTGCCTGTCTCTGTCTGTCTGATTGTCCACCCACCCCCCCCCCCCATCTGGGCTACGGGACCCCCTGGGGAGGGCGTGGCTCTCCTCACTGCTCCCCAACAACAAGCATGTCGTACAAGAATTCTAATTAGGTGTGCTTTTTCCCAAGCCACGGTGCATCTCCTTGAGGAACCAACAGTCTGTATACAAATGTGCCAGATCGGTAAAACGGATTGACTGTGAATGAATTCAACGATGACAGGAACAAGACGTACAACATGGAAGTAGAAACACAGCAGAAGTCCAGCATGACCAAGAAGAATACACATAGAAGAAGTGACTGACACATTGAGATTCTTCAACGTCACAACATACACGGCAGCCGAGCCTGCCCTAGCTCGGAAACCCATCATCTGTGAGCTGAGCGACAAAAACAGAAAATGTACAAAATTGGAGTTTATAATATTGTTTAAAAAAATGTATATCATTATATTTATTTGCCAATCCGTTTACTGCTGCTACTACTACTACCACTACTACTACTACCACCACTACCACTACCACCACCTCAACCACCACCACCACTACTACTACTACTGCTGCTGCTGCAGCTGCTGCTACTACTACTATATAAGCGTAAAGAAGGCTGACATCCCCTCACCCCCCCCCCCCCCCCCCGTGAACTCCCCACGCACTAGAACATTTGTAATTAGGTTGCGATGTGCCCTTCACCACACCCCGATGTTTTCTTCGCATCGGCGCCCATTTATTCAGGATGTGTAAAGTGAAGATGTATATGCATTGTCTGTCGGTTTGTCTGTTATCCACACAGCAGTATTCATCAGAAACTGTAGCTGTAATGACATGTCTGCCTACTGTAGCTGTGATGACATGTCTGCCTACTGTAGCTGTAATGACATGTCTGCCTACTGTAGCTGTAATGACATGTCTACCTACTGTAGCTGTAATTAGCTGTAATGTGTAGCTGTAATGACATGTCTGCCTGCTGTAGCTGTAATGACATGCCTGCCTACTGTAGCTGTAATGACATGTCTGCTTACTGTAGCTGTAATGACATGTCTGCCTACTGTAATGACATGTCTGCCTACTGTAGCTGTAATGACATGTCTGCCTGCTGTAGCTGTAATGACATGCCTGCCTACTGTAGCTGTAATGACATGTGTGCCTACTGTAGCTGTAATGACATGTGTGCCTACTGTAGCTGTAATGACATGTCTGCCTACTGTAGCTGTAATGACATGTCTGCCTACTGTAGCTGTAATGACATGTCTGCCTACTGTAGCTGTAATGACATGTCTGCCTACTGTAGCTGTAATGTTTGCTTATCATCTTCAACACAGCGAAAATCAACAGAGATTGTATTTGTGATGATATCATCTATCTGTCTTAAAACAGAAACAACCAACATAGATTCATGTTCTAACGACATGTCTGTCTTCTCACAGCAAAAATCAACAGAGACTGTGGTTTTAATGACTGTGTCTGTCTGTATGTCTTCCCATAGTGTCTGTTTTCCAAAAGCAACAACCAACATAGATTCATTTTCTAATGACATGTCTGTCTTCTTACAGCTAAAATCAACAGAGACTGGCTTTAATGACAGTGTTTGTCTGTCTGTCTTCCCACAGTGTCTGTTTTCCGAAAGCAACACTGCCAACTGTTTGACCTGGATATGACCTCTGACCTCCACATGATCGCCACACAACCACTGTTGAACGCATCTGAAGTCGTCCACCACATCCTCATGTTTGGGTGTGATCCTAAAGGTAATCAGTTCACCACATCCTTATGTTTGGGTGTGATCCTAAAGGTAATCAGTTCACCACATCCTTATGGTTGGGTGTGATCCTAAAGGTAATCAGTTCACCACATCCTTATGTTTGGGTGTGATCCTAAAGGTAATCAGTTCACCACATCCTCATGTTTGGGTGTGATCCTAAAGGTAATCAGTTCACCACATCCTTATGTTTGGGTGTGATCCTAAAGGTAATCAGTTCACCACATCCTTATGTTTGGGTGTGATCCTAAAGGTAATCAGTTCACCACATCCTCATGTTTGGGTGTGATCCTAAAGGTAATCAGTTCACCACATCCTCATGTTTGGGTGTGATCCTAAAGGTAATCAGTTCACCACATCCAACATCCATAAAAGGTATTTCTCTTCACCAGGTCCTCATGTGTGCGTGTAATACAATCCTCAAAGTATTTTGGTTCCCCTTATCCTCATGTTTGGATGTGATCCCAAAGGTGTATCTGTTCCCCACATACTCATATTTGGGTGTGACCCTAAAGGTATGCTCATTCATCACATTCTTTAGAGGTATGTCAGTTGTGTGATCCTTAAAGTATACCGTTCATTACGTCCTCCTATGTTGATGTAATCTTAATGATATGCCTGTTTGTCTTTTCCCAATGTTCTGATATATATAATCGTAAAATCACACGCTTGTAGCACTGATCTGGATGTTTCATTAATCAGTAAATTTGGGTTCGTTACTCTTTGGTCTTCAAAACCTAGAATTTTCTCTGAAGCCAGCCTGGCAAATCAGATGTGTAATCAATACTAATCTTTTGCTAGACAGAATTACTCTTGGCGAATAGATAGCCAAATAATGATGTTAAGAACTGATACTCCATTCAATATCAGATGGTAGAGGGGAGTGAGAAATCGGTATTATTAGGAATCAGTATTATTAATGTCTAGACTCCTGATTTCTTTCTTTCTTTCTTTCTTTCTTTCTTTCTTTCTTTCTTTCTTTCTTTCTTTCTTTCTTTCTTTCTTTCTTTCTTTCTTTCTTTCTTTCTTTCTTTCTTTTCTTTCTTTCTTTTTCTTTCTTTCTTTTCTTTTTCTTTCTTTCTTTCTTTCTTTCTTTCTTTCTTTCTTTCTTTCTTTCTTTCTTTCTTTCTTTCTTTTCTTTCTTTCTTTCTTTTCTTTCTTTCTTTCTTTCTTTCTTTCTTTCTTTCTTTTTTTCTTTCTTTCTTCTCTTTCTTTCTTTTCTTTCTTTCTTTCTTTCTTTCTTTCTTCTTTCTGTCTGTCTGTCTGTCTGTCTGTCTGTCTGTCTGTCTGTCTGTCTGTCTGTCTGTCTGTCTGTCTGTCTGTCTGTCTGTCTGTCTGTCTGTCTGTCTGTCTGTCTGTCTGTCTGTCTGTCTGTCTGTCTGTCTGTCTGTCTGTCTGTCTTTCTTTCTTTCTTTCTTTCTTTCTTTCTTTCTTTCTTTCTTTCTTTCTTTCTTTCTTTCTTTCTTTCTTTCTTTCTTTCATCTCTGGTAGAATATTCACGACAGCAAACCATGCATGAGATATGCGTCACAGTGTACGGAAGTAAAAGGGACTTATTTTGAAGTTACAAATTCAGATTATACAAGAGCAATATGTTAGGAATATTGTTTTAAATCAGTGATTGTTTGAAAATCACAGCAGGAATTAAACATAAATTAGAGTTTTTTTCACAATAAATATCAATGGAGCATCCTGCGAATGAATTGTCCAAACAAAATGATAAAGGAAGAATTGATAAAGAAAACAAAATGTTCATCACTTGCAAACGTTATCAAATGAGGAAGATGGTGATGGCTGGAACATGTTTGCAGAATGTCTCGTGACATTTGGGCAAGCACAGATTTCCAATGAACACGAGATCCCAAAAGAGAGACGGAGACGACCTAAGGAAACTTGGAGTCAGACAGTAGCAAAAGAAATGAAGGAGTGTAAAAAAATAAAGCATGGGGTACCATAAGCAGAAGAGCAGCAGACAGGCAGTAATAAAGATGACGTGTGAATGCCCAATGCGTCAACAGCTGCGTGAAGAGTACACATAGAGGGCAAGTATTCACGCCATGACTGGGGTTCGACCATTTGACCACTAGGTCTGTATACAAACGTTTTGAGTCCAGGGCCGCATTTAGATTTGATGAAGCCCTAAGCCGTTTGGAGCCCTAAGGCCCCTATAGTTTTAAACACACCAGCTTATCTCCGAAACCTTCAAAATATATACGCCTTTTAAATATATGGATGATAGAATATAACTGTCGTTTAATTGTGAGTACAATGTACAATAAATACTAGAGAAAGTATCTGCTAAATCACATACATTAAATGATATAATCTTCTTAAAGGATCTATTTTTGAAAATAAAAATTGCATGTGCGAACAAACAAACAAACAAAACAAAACAAAAAGTTTGTTGAGGCCCCTGAAGATCGTTAGGTCCTAAGTTGCAGCTTAATTATGTTATGTCTAATTCCAGCATCGGTACAAAGCCGACAGGACCACAGCTCCCCAGCATAATCTGTGAGTTCTTATACTGCTAAACTGCAAGAAACATCTCTGTGTGTTTGTGTGTGTGGAAAAGAGGAGGTGAGCTCACGCTGCTGATCTGGTCTCTATGTGAGGTTATAAATTGTGGGGTGCAGGCGGTGCGGTCTCCTATCTTAGGTCATCTGTGGAGTTTCTGACGTGTCTATGATAATGTTTCTATTTATGTCCCCTGCTCGTTTCATCTTCTGCCATTTTATACCTCATGGGAGCACACGTAGTTCCTCAAGCAGCTGACACCAGGCCACCCCATCCACTCCTTATTGCCCTACAGTTCCCTCCATGTCTTTCTCACATTGTTCATTTCTCCTAAGCCCCCGTGATGTATCTCCAATCTTGTTCATTTCTGCTTCTAAATCTCAAGTCAACATAACCAATGAAGAGTCCTAGAGATTTATAAGAATCCCGTTTGGAACGAACTAAAAATTAGATAATCTAGACGTCAGAAAGATGATATATATTACCGTCTTCACAGATGTGAATGAGCAGTAGTGTCGTGCATGAGATAGCAAACTGAGACAAATGTGTGCTTGCGTGTGTGTATGTGTGTGTTATGATTTGTACCTAAATTCCGTTTTTATATATGTATATTTGTAATACACCAAGCTAACTGTTTGTAAAGAAAAGATAATAAGGAAGAGAACTGGTGTTCTCCTAAATAATGTGTTACAATTAGTCATCCCCTTGTAGGATGCAATTTTTCGTTATTTTTAAGCCCCACCCTGGCTCTTGCAGGTGATCCTCGTACACATGGTGGCACTTTGTGTCATTAGGTGTTTATCGCTTGTGTGATGTCCTAGTGGGGTAAAATGTACTACTACTACTACTACTACTACTACTACTACTACTACTACTACTACTACTACTACTACTACTACTACTACTACTACTACTACTACTACTACTACTACTACTACTACTACTACTACTACTACTACTACTACTACTACTACTACTACTACTGTACTACTACTGTACTACTACTGTACTACTACTACTACTACTACTACTACTACTACTACTACTACTACTACTACTACTACTACTACTACTACTACTACTGCTACTACTACTACTGTACTACTACTGTACTACTACTACTACTACTACTACTACTACTACTACTACTACTACTACTACTACTACTACTACTACTACTACTACTACTAATACTACTACTACTACTACTACTACTACTACTACTACTACTACTACTACTACTACTACTACTACTACTGTACTACTACTACTACTACTACTACTACTACTACTACTACTACTACTACTACTATTACTACTACTACTACTACTACTACTACTACTACTACTACTACTAAGTGTGTTGCTATTTAATCTTTTAGGGTGGGCCGGCCTTGGTCATCACCCCAGGCCACGGACATTTCTCTTTTCTGTAAACGTGCGGAGAGGGCGCCCGAACTCTACACGACAGACCCTGTAAACAGGGTATTTGTGTATCTGCTCGGAAGAAAAATCTCTTACACAACCTCAATTTGGCCAGCAGGCCTATTACTTAACGCCGAACTGGCAATATCTACGATGGGGTTATGGTTATGCTTGATATAGTCTTGATTCCGTTCCAGATCCTTGCACGTATACCAAACCAATTTTCTTATTAGAAATCAAGATAGAATGATTAATCCGTTTCCGTGGAAAATAAAATCGTCTTGTTATTAACATTTTATACATTGCTTGGATGTATAAAATAATGTAAACACTGTTTAATACTCAAATACATAAATAGAGGAGATGTTTTTGTTTGCAATAAAACTTTAGAAAACTGAAATTCAGAAAATTTTTTTCTCTTGTCCTTTTCTCTTCTAAATTTTTCTCCCTGCTTGGACCTAGTTGAATCAAGTCACCTCCCCCCCCCCCCACCCCACCTCCCCCAATAAAATAAGGTCATATATGGGCAATATTGTTTGCCTCAACACATGACGTATTCCAAGTTGGATTTATTAGAAAACTGACGTATACCGAGGTACCACTAAATATTTCTACTGCATATTCTCACAGAATCGACAAAATGTTCTGACATATTTCATTCTACAGTTGAGATAGAACAAGAACTTCGTACTCCGTACGCTTGTGTCATGGTGCCACACGAGGGATGTCGGTCACTGATTGGTGCCTGGACAGTGGGCAGTCCCGGAGAATGTGCTCACCCAGAGATGGGCTTTCGAGTGGGTCCTGGCGGCTACAAGACGGTGGCTATCCAGGTGAGTTCAAGTGGTCTGAGAAAAGGTTAGAGTTAAACTAACCACTGGCGAGGATGCATTCGTGCTTGTTACATAGAACTGGTGGATTCTGAGAAAGCGGACAGTGCATTATCGGAATATCCTGAGTACATTCATAGCAGTTCATTCATTCATTCATTCATTCATTCATTCATTCATTCATTCATTCATTCATTCATTCATTCATTCATTCATTCATTCATTCATCAATGCATCCATTCATTTATTCATTTATTTGGAACCTCTGTGAGCATACAATTCTGAATTATTAGGCCAACCAAAAATAAATATAATAATAATAATAATAATAATAATAATAATAATAACCCCATACAACCATATAATGAGGTTTTATAATATAATGAGGGGGTGGGGGGGGGGGATCTGGACTGCCAAAATGGTCATGTAAATGTTTTGACGGAGGCTAGTAAGCATACATATAGTTTGGACTTTGGATCTTTTTTTTTTTGTCCAGGCTGTGCCGGCGTGGTGGGGAATGAACAGGCAGACAGATTGGCTTGATCTGTACCGCTGGGTGGGGAATTGATACATGACAAGGCAGATGTGATCAGAGCTCTCTGGGAGCAAGTAACGAAGTCAGAAGAGAAAGTAGTTTATTATGGGCTGGAGAGAATGATGCACCTGGGTGTAACCAGAGGGTTCGACCGGCACACTACGCTCATAATGGGGATGCCTCTAGTGCTGTGATGTCAATTCGTGACTCAACTCAACTTAACGGAGGAAAAGAAACGAAGAAATCATCACAAACACAAGAGAAAGGCAGTCGACATTTTCTTTATCATGCCTGATGAAGAGCAAACCTGGAATATACAGTGAGAAAACCTGGAACATACGGTGATCATACCTAGAACATACTGTGAGCAAACTTGGAACATACGGTGAGCAAACCTGGAACATACAGTGAGCAAACCTGGAACATACAGCGAGCAAACCTGGAACATACGGTGATCAAACATGGAACATACAGTGAGCAAACTTGGAACATACGGTGATCAAACCTGGAACATACTGTGAGCAAACTTGAAACATACGATGGGCAAACCTGGAACATACAGTGATCAAACCTGGAACATACGGTGATCAAACCTGGAACATACAGTGATCAAACCTGGAACATACTGTGAGCAATCTTGGAATATACGGTGAGCAAACCTGGAACATACAGTGAGCAAACCTGGAACATACAGTTAGCAAACCTGGAACATCCAGTGAGCAAACCTGGAACATACGGTGAGCATACCTGGAACATACGGTGAGCATACCTGGAACATACAGTGAGCAAACCTGGAACATACTGTGAGCAAACTTGGAACATACGGTGAGCAAACCTGGAACATACAGTGATCAAACCTGCAACATACTGTGAGCAATCTTGGAACATACGGTGAGCAAACCTGGAACATACAGTGAGCAAACCTGGAATATACAGTGAGCAATCCTGGAATATACAGTGAGCAAACCTGGAACATATGGTGAGCAAATCTGGAACATACGGTGAGCAAACCTGGAACATACGGTGAGCAAAGCTGGTACATACAGTGAGCAAACCTGGAACATACGGAGAGCGAACCTGGAAAAATTTCGAGGAAACAGAGGCATAGGAAGACAGCGCATGCCCTCGTGCTATATTGATTAATCTTGTTGAAGATTGTGAGATGTAAAGATATGTGATCATCCTCTACGGTCGATGAGCTCAAGTCGATAGTGGTGATAGTTAAATAGTTTCTGCGGTAGTCCTCGTGGTTGTTGTGTTTGTTGTTGTTGTTGTTGTTGTGGTGGTGGTGGTGGTCCTCGTGGTTGTTGTGGTTGTCGTTGTTGTTGTTGTTTTGGTGGGGGTGGTGGTCCTCGTGGTTGTTGTGGTTGCCGTTGTTGTTGTTGTTGATGTGGGGGTGGTAGTCCTCGTGGTTTTTGTGGTTCGTTGTTGTTGTTGTTGTTGCTGTTGCTGTTGTTGTGGTGGTGGTGGTGGTCCTCGTGGTTTTTGTTATTTTTGTTGTTGTTGTTGTGGTGGGGGTGGTCGTCGTTGTTCCTGTCTAGGATTGCAGTCTGTAGGATCAGCACCTCAGGGACGAGAATCAGACAGGAACAAATCCCAGAAATCCTACCCTACCGTATAAAACACCGTTATTTTAGAGCACTACTGCCGTTACTGAGTAACATGCAGTCCATAATGGGACTGGGATATGATAGTCTAACTTATTGTTGTTGTTGTGGTGGTAGTGGTGGTGGTGGTGGTGGCGGTGGTGGTGGTGGTGGTGGTAGTGGTGGTAGTGGTGGTAGTGGTGGTGGTAGTGGTAGTAGCGGTGGTAGTGGTGGTGGTAGTGGTGTTGGTAGTGGTGGTAGTGGTGGTAGTGGTGGTGCTGAGAGCCAAAAAAATTATATTAAGAAACAAGAAGTTGCTGACTTGTGCTTGTTCTACTTATATGAAATAATAGTAGTGAACATTCTATACGATCTTTCCTTATCGATTGAGACGAGACAGAGAATTCTTAAGAGGTACATAAATCCTATCCTGATATAGGGAAGTGAATCATGGACAGTTGGAAGATTAGTGAAGAATTGTTTAGAAGCGGTGGAGATGTGGTTTTATTGTCGAATGACGAGTATACCCTAGACACATAACAAGAGTAATTAAGGTGTATTTAAAGAAACTGACTCTGAAGAGAACTGATTATCAACATCAGAAGGAGACCATCTAATTAATTCATTGGTGATTGTCACGAAAAGGGAAAAACTGGAGTATATCGTGACAGTGGGAAAGCTGGGGAAAAAATAGGTAGAGGGATGCTGCGATAGAAGATACTGGGCGGTTTGACAACGTGGCGTGGAAAATCATCTGTGTCTGAACTGACTTGAAGTACCAACGCTACACGGCGTGGACTGGTAGGAGAAGTAGTAGTGAGTGTGACAGTTCAGAAGCCTCTTGTGATTGCAGGTGCACTGGAACAACCCGGGCAAGCTGGCGGGGATAGTTGACAACTCTGGCCTGAGGATCCATCTGACCAGCAATCTACGCAAGAATGACGCCGGCATGTTGGTGGTGGGCCAACAGTATCTGCAGATTGAGACTGACGAACAAGGTCGGTCATGTACAGAAGCCAGTAGAAGCTCTCTGACAGAATGTGTTCCACAACATTTCTTTGTATTTTTTTGTATACTTCCACGACCATTGTCTGTTCGTTGTTATTGTCTCCGCTTTGTCTTTCCTTTTGCATCGTCTTTCGTTCCAGGTGTATCCAATTACCCACCTTATCCTGATGCTCCACTTATCTTCTTTTTTTCTTCTTCTACCTCGTCCTCCTTCATCATCACCAATACGACCGTCACCGTCATAACTGTTATTATCACCACCGTCATTATCTTATTATTATTCTCCTCCTCATTATTATTATTTTTATTACTATTTGCTTCTTTTTCTTTGTAGATGTGTTGATGTATATGGTTAAATTGCCTAATTTTTATGTATATATATATATTTACGTGTGAGTAATGTGTGTAATGCAGGGATACAGCATAAAGCAGCTTGAAAGCACAGCAGAAGGAGACATACACAGTCAACAGAGAATGTTTCGTTAAAAGGGTCCTTCAAAAAGTATCTTTTACTATCAAAATAATCCATTCATAACATCTAATGGCGAAAAATTGATACCATCAAATGTTTAAATTAACACAAAAGACTAAACCAGTACTGTAGAAGATTTTGCTGATGCAAACTCCTAATTTCTTGACTGGGAGTCAAAATGTTCCTCAGCGCAGCTGACAGCGCTTGGTGTGACACTGTGAGTTGCGAATTTCATGTAATGAGCATAATATACCCAATACACCACTGGTGAAAAAAGGGTTCTTGACTCACTACACTTCTACCTTTTATGTACAGGGACCGGCGACTTGTCGTTCTCCTCCGTCTGCCCAGAGCGCTGCACCAAGGTCATGTTCAGCTCGCCCGTCTACATCACGTCCGCTGTCAACCACATGCACTACCTAGGTAAGGGCTGGCTCGTCTGCCATCTTGTGTTTGCTTTACCGCGCTTTTCCTGGGAAGATCATTTGTATTCGTGTTGTCTGTTAATGCTGAAGTTGTGATATTTGTGTCTTTCTGTCGAACATCGGGACCGCCACCTGGGGAAAGGGAAAGGGGAATATTCTAGGGTGTGAGATCTAAGCAACCTCTCCTCCGCCCCCCCCCCCAATTTTTGTTTTTATGAATCGCTGATGCCTGATCCCCTACCCCCACACCCTACCCCTACCCCCACCCCATCTTTGCTAGAAATTGGCTAAGTAGCCCTCCTAAAAATGCATTAACGTTTTCTTATTAAGTTGTTTATACATTTAAGAGGAACACGTAACGTTATTCTGACTGCCTTTCTACCCCATCAGGACATCACACAAGCGATAAACACCCGATGACACAAAGCACCACCTTGTGGATGAGGATCGCCGTGGAGAGGTCCCAGAAACCGCGTTCAGACAATTGGCTATATTTATGGCCTGCCTATATTGCGGCCCCTGGCAAAAGCCAGGGTGGGGCTTTAAATAACAAATAATGTCATCCTAAAAAAGACGAAACGACGGGATAACATTATTCTCCCAACGCCCCGCCTATATGCACACTATGTCACTTCTGATTGGTAGTTCATGAGTTCCGTGGCCTTCGCACAAGGTCAGAGGGGTGTTCCGCGATACCGTTGATATCGCGTGTTGTATATTTCAGCACGTCAGTGCTTTTAACGCTCCAAAAACATGGAGCAACTGGCCCTAACAAAACTCACCTAAAGAGTGCTGCATTTTCTGTCACAGCTATTCTCTTTCTTGCAATGAAAGCGTAAATGCAAAACAACACAGAAAGCAAACAACAGATCAGGACACACCCGTAACCTTCAGTAAAGTCGACCAGCCAAACAAACTTGTGAATGAAAAGTGACCTACTCTGTTTGGGGAGATTATTGTTACTTTAACCCATTTTATATTATTTCAGACATATTGTTACATTTATTTGCAATTCGGCATTCAATAAATAATAATAATAATAAAAGTAATAATAATAATTGCTTTATTAATCCATAATTCAGCTCCTTCAGACCCCACCCCCACCTTTCCCTTTTCCCCCACCCGTAAAAAGTGTGGACATTTCTGGAAAAAAAAAAACACTTAAAAAAAAAAAATCATTTTATTGAAGGTTCTTTGTCAGTTGAGCAGTAGTGTAAAAAGGAGTGCGGCGGTGAGGGGCCGCCCCACGTGCCGTTACTGAAAGAAAAAAGAAAGAGTTGGGGGGGGGGGGGGGGGGTTTGACACAATGACGATAAATATATTTTTAACAGTGTATGTGGGGGGGGGGGAGGGGGGGGAGGGGGGGGGGGCTACAGAGAAGCATGTCGATGCACATGATTTCAACATGGCATCCATGTATTAATTCTAACTGCTAGTTTGTACTTTATGTTTTATTCCCCCCCCCCCCCCCCCCCCCCCCCCCCCCCCACCCACCCCCCCCCTCCCCCACCCCCCCCCCCCCCCCCCCACCCCCCCCCACCACCCCCCCCCCCCCCCCCCCCCCAAAAAGAAATCCATGAGTTCCCGGGAAAGTCCAATGCATTAGGGGGTGTTGCAGGTTGTGGTTAGGTTTGAGGGGTTAGAGCTGAGGTTAGGGTTGGGAGGTTAGAACTGAGGTTAGGGTTGGGAGGTTAGAGCTGAGGTTAGGGTTGAGGGGTTAGAGCTGAGGTTAGGGTTGAGAGGTTAGAGCTGAGGTTAGGTTTGAGGGGTTAGAGCTGAGGTTAGGGTTGGGAGGTTAGAACTGAGGTTAGGGTTGAGGGGTTAGAACTGAGGTTAGGGTTGGGAGGTTAGAACTGAGGTTAGGTTTGAGGGGTTAGAACTGAGGTTAGGGTTGGGGGGTTAGAGCTGAGGTTAGGTTTGAAGGGTTAGAACTGAGGTTAGGTTTGAGGGGTTAGAACTGAGGTTAGGGTTGGGAGGTTAGAACTGAGGTTAGGGTTGGGAGGTTAGAGCTGAGGTTAGGGTTGAGGGGTTAGAACTGAGGTTAGGTTTGGGGGGTTAGAGCTGAGGTTAGGGTTGAGGGGTTAGAGCTGAGGTTAGGTTTGGGGGGTTAGAGCTGAGGTTAGGTTTGGGGGGTTAGAGCTGAGGTTAGGGTTGGGGGGTTAGAGCTGAGGTTAGGGTTGAGGGGTTAGAGCTGAGGTTAGGTTTGGGGGGTTAGAACTGAGGTTAGGGTTGAGGGGTTAGAGCTGAGGTTAGGGTTGAGGGGTTAGAACTGAGGTTAGGTTTGGGAGGTTAGAACTGAGGTTAGGTTTGGGAGGTTAGAACTGAGGTTAGGGTTGGGGGGTTAGAACTGAGGTTAGGGTTGGGGGGTTAGAACTGAGGTTAGGTTTGGGGGGTTAGAGCTGAGGTTAGGGTTGGGGGGTTAGAGCTGAGGTTAGGTTTGGGGGGTTAGAACTGAGGTTAGGGTTGAGATGTTAGAACTGAGGTTAGGGTTGAGGGGTTAGAGCTGAGGTTAGGGTTGAGGGGTTAGAGCTGAGGTTAGGGTTGAGAGGTTAGAGCTGAGGTTAGGGTTGAGGGGTTAGAACTGAGGTTAGGGTTGGGGGGTTAGAGCTGAGGTTAGGGTTGAGGGGTTAGAGCTGAGGTTAGGGTTGAGGGGTTAGAGCTGAGGTTAGGGTTGAGAGGTTAGAGCTGAGGTTAGGGTTGAGGGGTTAGAGCTGAGGTTAGGGTTGAGAGGTTAGAGCTGAGGTTAGGGTTGAGAGGTTAGAACTGAGGTTAGGTTTGGGGGGTTAGAGCTGAGGTTAGGGTTGAGGAGTTAGAGCTGAGGTTAGGGTTGAGAGGTTAGAGCTGAGGTTAGGTTTGAGGGGTTAGAGCTGAGGTTAGGGTTGAGAGGTTAGAACTGAGGTTAAGTTTGGGAGGTTAGAACTGAGGTTAGGTTTGGGAGGTTAGAACTGAGGTTAGGGTGGGGGGGTTAGAACTGAGGTTAGGGTTGGGGGGTTAGAACTGAGGTTAGGTTTGGGAGGCTAGAACTGAGGTTAGGGTTGGGGGGTTAGAGCTGAGGTTAGGTTTGGGGGGTTAGAACTGAGGTTAGGTTTGGGAGGGTAGAACTGAGGTTAGGGTTGGGGGGTTAGAACTGAGGTTAGGGTTGGGGGGTTAGAACTGAGGTTAGGGTTGGGGGGTTAGAACTGAGGTTAGGGTTGAGGGGTTAGTGCTGAGGTTAGGGTTGGGGGGTTAGAGCTGAGGTTAGGGTTAGGGGGTTAGAGCTGAGGTTAGGGTTGAGGGGTTAGAACTGAGGTTAGGTTTGAGGGGTTAGAGCTGAGGTTAGGGTTAGGGGGTTAGAGCTGAGGATAGGGTTAGGGGGTTAGAGCTGAGGTTAGGGTTAGGGGGTTAGAGCTGAGGTTAGGGTTGAGGGTTTAGAACTGAGGTTAGGGTTGGGAGGTTAGAACTGAGGTTAGGGTTAGGGGGTTAGAGCTGAGGTTAGGGTTGGGAGGTTAGAACTGAGGTAAGGGTTAGGGGGTTAGAACTGAGGTTAGGGTTGGGGGGTTAGAACTGAGGTTAGGGTTGGGGGGTTAGAACTGAGGTTAGGGTTGGGGGGTTAGAACTGAGGTTAGGGTTGGGGGGTTAGAGCTGAGGTTAGGGTTGGGGGGTTAGAGCTGAGGTTAGGGTTGAGGGGTTAGAGCTGAGGTTAGGGTTGAGCTGAGGTTAGGGTTGAGGGGTTAGAGTTGAGGTTAGGGTTGGGGGGTTAGAACTGAGGTTAGGGTTGAGGGGTTAGAGCTGAGGTTAGGGTTGAGGGGTTAGAGCTGAGGTTAGGGTTGAGGGGTTAGAGCTGAGGTTAGGGTTGAGGGGTTAGAGCTGAGGTTAGGGTTGAGGGGTTAGAGCTGAGGTTAGGGTTGAGAGGTTAGAACTGAGGTTAGGGTTGAGGGGTTAGAGCTGAGGTTAGGGTTGAGGGGTTAGAGCTGGGTTAGGGTTGCTGAGGTTAGAACTGAGGTTAAGGGTTGGGGAGGTTAGAGCTGAGGTTAGGGTTGGGGAGGTTAGAACTGAGGTTAGGGTTTGGGGGTTAGAAACTGAGGTTAGGGTGAGAGGTTAGAACTGAGGTTAGGTTTGGGAGGTTAGAACTGAGGTTAGGGTTGGGGGGTTAGAACTGAGGTTAGGGTTGGGGGTTAGAACTGAGGTTAGGTGGTGGGGGGTTAGAACTGAGGTTAGGGTTGGGGGGTTAGAACTGAGGTTAGGGTTAGGGTTAGAGGAGGTTAGGTTAGGGGGGGGTTAGAACTGAGGTTAGGGTTAGGGGGTTAGAACTGAGGTTAGGGTTGGGGGGTTAGAACTGAGGTTAGGGTTGGGGGGTTAGAGCTGAGGTTAGGGTTAGGGGGTTAGAACTGAGGTTAGGGTTGGGGGGTTAGAACTGAGGTTAGGGTTGGGGGGTTAGAGCTGAGGTTAGGTTTAGGGGGGGGGGGTTAGAGCTGAGGTTAGGGTTGGGGGGTTAGAACTGAGGTTAGGTTTGGGGGGGGGGTTAGGTTAGAGCTGAGGTTAGGGTTGGGGGTTAGGGTTGGGTGGGTTAGAGCTGAGGTTAGGTTTGGGGGGGGGGGGGGTTAGAAACTGAGGTTAGGGTTAGGGGGGTTAGAACTGAGGTTAGGTTTGGGGGGTTAGAACTGAGGTTAGGGTTGGGAGGTTAGAGCTGAGGTTAGGTTTGGGGGGGGGGGGGGGGGGGTTAGAACTGAGGTTAGGGTTGGGGGGTTAGAGTTGAGGTTAGGGTTGGGGGTTAGAGCTGAGGTTAGGTTTTGGGGGTTAGAACTGAGGTTAGGTTTGGGGGGGGGGGGGGGTTAGAGCTGAGGTTAGGGTTGGGGGGTTAGAACTGAGGTTAGGTTTGGGGGGGGGGGGGGTAGAACTGAGGTTAGGTTTGGGGGGGTTAGAGCTGAGGTTAGGTTTGGGGGGTTAGAGCTGAGGTTAGGGTTGGGGGGGGGGTTAGAACTGAGGTTAGGTTTGGGGGGGGGGGGGGGGTTAGAGCTG